AATGACCGACATGCCCGCCTCCACAGGAACATATAAACTGACATGCGCGCACAGAAGTGATCGGAGGCTTGATCTCGTCCGACAGGGTCCTGTGGACCAGTGAACAATTGGAGAACACCCTTATTGAGGTTGCTGTGAAGAATGCTACTCTTAAGGATATCAGAGATTAGGCCTACCTTGAATTAAAGATTCGTGTTAATATTCTCTTTTGGGACAAGTAATCTTTCGTTTCTCTGAAATTTCAGTTTGATATTCTTACCAACAAAGCCCTATGGGTATCCATTTCAGATGAAGGTTTTATTCTTAGAAGTTCTGGATGTTTCTCCAAAGCATCAGAACTACAGATGCGTTGCATGACAGTGGCAAGGGATGCAACTGCATTTTTTCTTCTTTCGACAGGCACTCAACCGTGCAAATAATGTGTGATTGTGTGGAGTGTGAAAAGCCGGAAACACCCGGTATTCCCAGCCGGTCACCCATGCAAGTACTAACCGGGCCCAACCTCGCTTTACTTCGGTGATCGGACGAGAACCGGTGCTTTCAACGTGGTATGGTCGCCGCTAAATCCACTCCTCTGCAAATATCACTTCAACACTGCACCACTGCACAAAACATACCCACATCCACACACATACTATCATCACTCACAGATACACACCCACCCACACAAACACACATCAACAGCACAACAAAACACAACACAACAACTACTCATACTACTCATTCGGCCTGACTACTCACTCAATCACTAACTCTCAATCTGTCTCGATGACTGACACACTGACTGACTGACTGACTCACTCCCCGACCGAATCAACGTCACACTAACATAGTCCTAATCACTGACTCACTGACTGTTTGTGTCTGTCAGTGTGAACTCGTGCTTACGTGTATTGCTGTGCATGTGTTATCTGGTGCAGTATGTTGATAGCGAGCCAGTTGGAGAAGGTTTTCGTGAGGACGGGTAGAGTGGGTGAAATCGTGTGTGGATGGGTATAAAGGTGGTTAATTGGTGGGAAATGTGAGTGGTAAAATGGGAGAGAGTGGGTGAAGTGGGTACAGTGGGTATTCAATGTTGTATTTGAGCCATGTTTTGGCGACGCGTCAACCGATCAAAATTTCCCATTTCACCCATGTTCTCGCCAATTCACGCATGTGTATTTCCCACTGTCTGGTATCAATCTGATCGAGGATTCGGTGTGTTAGAGTGAGTGACATAGTGATGTGTGCGTCTAACTCAATGTCTGTGTCTGTCTGTGTTTGTGTGCGCTGGTGTGTGTGTGTGTGATTGGGTGTTCGTCGGCGTCGGAGTCTTGGTTGGTGTTGGAATGAATCAGTGAGTGACTGAGTGCGTGATGATGACTGTGGGAGGAGGGATTCGTCTAGTGTGAATGTGAGTGTGTCTGTGTTGGTGGCTGGGTGGGTGGGTGGATGGTCGGGTGTGAGTTTTGCAAATAATGTGTGATTGTGTGGAGTGTGAAAAGCCGGAAACACCCGGTATTCCCAGCCGGTCACCCATGCAAGTACTAACCGGGCCCAACCTCGCTTAACTTAGGTGATAGGACGGGAACCCGTGACAACGAACGATTTCCACACGGATACGAGAACATATTCCGACATGGCTTTACAAGAGAGAAAGGAAGTTAGTGTGAGGCTCTATTTTGGAATGAATACTTGCTCGACTCCTGTCACTCTTACAACCCTAACATGCGTTTAAAATCATTATCTATCGAATTCATGATAACTTGCCGCACTTCCCTCGCCACAAGCTTCTAAAGACAACGTAGGCCATTCGCATTCATGAAATAAAGCCAACAAGAATTTATAACTGTAAAAGAATCTGGTTACATGGAAAAATTCAAGAATGGTCATGCTAACTGTTTTATATTTTTCACACTTTTAATGAATTATTGATATAAGTATAAAATTCGAATAAGGCATTTAGAAGACAAATTTCGCGAGATGATATCATTTCGTAGTCTCTTACAACCGCTTTGCAACTAACATGGTTCACAATAATAAAATAAAATACATGACAATTACTCAGTTATATAAAACAAAACTGCATACTTATGACCAGCCATATATTTAAATAGGTCCATCGTAGGCGAAGGTTGTAGTCTATTGTTTTTGTACGCATAGTCTAGGGTGTATGCTATTAATCCAACAAAGCGCTTCCATCACCTTCAATAACCAACCTTGAATTAGAGTTCTGTGATGAAATAATTGTGAAACAGTCATCAATATTGATTTTGTAACCTGACATTAATAAGTGCTTTGCAGTATATGATACTGAATTTCTATTCAGATTAATTGCATTTGGATTCTCTATATGCATTAATAATCATTTTGGAACACGTTCCTTTCGACGGCATTGAAACATTCTATTGGTTCTACCTATATGGGTGTCACCGCAACTTCAGGTCAACTTGTAGACTAATTGTTTTAATAGGTATAAAGCTTGGGCGCTGTGGTAGAGTGTAACTCCAATATGCATAAGATTTTATTTTGATATATCACAATGTTATACAGTAATATTAACTGATGAAGTTTAGAGCACAAACTATTGCTCATAATCATATCAAGTTACTCATACGACTTTTTTCCTTCACTGATATACATGAGTGAAATTGATGACTAGGCATTTGAATAAAACTCAATGTAAGATAATGTACATTCCAAAATAATAATATGAGTGTTATTGATCAAATACAATCATATGGGAAATAAGATGCGTGTTTTCATAGACAAAATAAGTAACTTGTTAGAATGTTAGGTTGTACTTGAATTGAAATAGGACTTTAAGATTATTTATTATTCTCCTCTGATTTGACTGGTGTTAATAATATGAGTATGAGTAGTGCCTTGATATGATTATGAGCAATAGTTTGTGCTCGAAACGTCATTAGTTAACATTACTGTATAACACTGTGATATATCAAAATAAAGCTTTTTATGAATGTTTATACTTAATACTACTTTGTAGAATGAAAACAATCGTTGTCATGGTAATCTGTTAAGATTTCGATGAGCCTATCAATTTATTTACGTGTTTAATAGAAAACACTTAACTGATAAGCTTATAGAATTGATATGTATCCACATGATGTGTGTGTTTGTTTTTGACAGTCTATTATATTTTTCTGTGTGTATATGGATCGATATTCCATTATAACCGACAATATGCCTTTGTCTGTCCACTAACTAAATAAACATGTATGACCTTGTTGTCACATGACATTACAACCAATCATGTTAAGACTGGCTAATTATTGGTTCATGTGTATTAGTCATTTTCATATATACTTTTGTACTGGATTCTTGTTCATACTTGTTCGTACATTTCGTACATCTAAGTACCCTTCCACTCACACACTTGTGTGACATTTGTTTTCCTTGTCTGGAAAATACAAGTATCATCGTAAACCTCGTGGTCTTCTTATTTCCCTCTTTCCGCGTCAGGACTATTAACTACTCGACGAGTACATAACATACTTGGTGACGGGGAAAACTCTAATAACTCACTCACCAGCAGTACATAACACGAATAAGTTAACTAATTGATTAACCAACGACTGTAAACTGCGGATGTCTTAAAATTATATACATTATGCTATCATACTGTTATTATTCACCTGGCTTCCGAGTGGAACAGGGCTCGAACACCTCACCCCCATTTCACCCCGTTCTCCAAGGTTGATAAAAACATCAGCCTGCTCGAAATGCCTCTGTGACAACTCAAGTTTCTGACCAACATAGAAGAACCCATTTGACATCGGTGTTGGAAACCCGAATCACGTTGTTCATGTTTTAAAGGGCGGCAGATCACCAAACCGATTTCAGATTGATGAAGGTGTATCTTGCCTTTCTGATTCTTGCTGGCTGGTTGGCTGTCTGTCTGGCTTTGACATCTTCATTGGGTTCCACTGGCTGTGGTTGAAACCACGCTTCCTAGATAAGTGAAGGAAGTGACCTCTTTCGAACTTATTCCGTTGATGGCGATTGGTGCTTGTTGTCGTTGTTGTGGTTGGTTATTTTCACCAATTCTGTCTTCTCTGTACTCATTTGAAGGTCTGTCTTTGCTTGCATCCTCTGCTGTCAAACTAAGCAGTTGACGATATTCAGCCTTGTCTAACTCCTGTATTCTCTTGGGATGCTTCATTGAGTTTTCCGTTGGGGACCCCTTTTCATGTGTCACTGGGATATAGATGTTGAATCAGGTTGATAAAGGTTTTCGGCGGTGTGCTCTGTAGTGTTGAAGTAGTTTTCGAATTCCTTCATGGTCAACTCTGTCGGAGACCTTTCCGAAGTCGATCAAATCAAGGTAGAGTATGCACATCTCATATTTCTACCTCATCTTTAAGTGGAAGGGGGAAAATATCTTTTATCTTGTTTATCTAATCTGTGTACATTTCCCCTGTGCGTCGGTGGCACAGTGGTTAGGAAACTCGCCGACCATGCACATGGTCCGAGGTTCGATCCCCTGCCGACGCACACCTGACACCTGATATCTATGGTCGGCCTGCAAAATTTGGGCTACCGATATCCATGCTGAAAATTACATACATGTACCAAAATTACAGTGTGGAATCAAGCTGTAATCAAAAATAAAAATAAATAAAATAAAAGTTATGACTATTAATTATAATTACTATTTTTACGTTGACTCTGAAGGGCTTCCGATGTTATTTCATTTGTCTCCATTTATTATTTTGATTTGTCACATTGTTTTCAATATTAAACTCTATCTTAGGAAGCGTTTCACCCCATTACGTCATCTTTTTATTTGCCTACTAATCGTTTCAATTTTACTCTCTTACAAGTTTCATACATTCTGTAAACTATTATATGTGTTTATATGACAGCATCACCCTATCCTATCACTTAATATTGGAATTTGATTATATAATTACAAATATTCTGTCGCATTTCACATTATAATTAGTATTGTTTTTCTTATAAGTACTTACATCTTTTTGAAGTAATTCTATAATGACTCACACCTGTATTTACTGATAAAAGGCGTAAATTATCAAAAAAATATTTCAAAGTTGTGCAAAGTTTTCATCTCTCTTTCATTAAACAGCTGAACAAATGGAAGAATAAGGAAGAAGGTTACAAGTAACTTCACAACACTGATGATTGTTCAAAGTATTTAAGAAATGAAACTTATTGAAGTGTATGCGCTGAAACCAAAATATATGAGGTGCATGCAAACAGAACAACTGTCTTCATTGTCTTCTTCTTCTAATTAATGCCGTTCTAGTCATTCGAATATTCTTCGACCACTTTACTTTACTTGGATTTAAACAGTCTCTGGCAGCACCACCACGTGATTGTTTGATTATATCATTATTGTTCGGATAAAATTTGGGTTTCCGTGCTACTACTTGTTTTAATTTATCACTAATGGCAAAGAGAAAATTCAAAAATATATATATATAATGACCAGCGTATTTGTTTTGATTGCAATGATCATTCTGGATTGGATTAAAGCCATTGGCGATTGAACTATTACGGCATAAAATGAGACGACATTTCATAACGTCCAAATTTAAAATTTGAAGTTAATTTTTGGTTTCCTAAGTGTTTACAAACTCAAATATGCGCCTCAAAACGGCGGCCTGCTTGAACAAAGGGCTACCGAAAATTCCATACTACAACATTTTGCAAAACTGCTTTGGTTTGCTCTTTTAATTTTGTTTTAATTTATCAATAATGTGTCCTAATCGTATTATATATAATCGCGCATTTTTAAAATCATTACAATGTAGTAATTCGAACTCAAGAGCAGGCGCAAATTCAAAAACTGGTGGCTGCTGAATACTGAAGGCCTAGCTCTTTGTTGTAAATATATACATCTTTTGAACTTTCCTGTCGCGTTCTGCTTCTCACCTCACCCCGTGTGCTTGATATCTGATACTGTCTGTGTTGTTCTATTATAGAACATGGCGAGCCGGCCCAACTCGCGTAAACTAAAGCGCGAAGTGAAGGACTCTGAATCTCCTGCTAATGCCAACGCCTGCGACTCGGAAAATGGTAACAGAGCGCCACCAGTAATGTCATCAACCTCACCGACAACGTCGACGTCCACGCCTGCCCAGATATGATTCAAGCAATGGTCGCAGCGTTCAGAATAGCATTGATGACGTCGGATACACTTTCATCGTCCTCCAACAATAAACCTCAAGTTAAATTCCCAGCACCAGAAAAGTTCGTCCCAGGGGAATCATTCACATTGTGGGAGGAGCAGTGCCGTCGCTATATACAACAATTTGATGAGGAACAAAGAGCTAGTGCTGTAATCTGTTTACTGTCAATACCTGCGTTGAAACGCCTCAAGCTAGCTGGCGTTGACACAGAAGAGACGATGGAAGTAGAGGAGCTATTTGCAGCGATGCGTCGAGCATTTGCGCCGCATACCCATGTTCTTGGGCAGCGGGCTGCTTTTCACGCATGTGTCCAGCAGAGCGGCGAAAGTACAGAGGAATTCCTCTGGCGACTTCAAGAGTTAGCTCCAGTGGCTTTTGAAGGAGACTCCGCAACCGAAATCAGCTCCCGCATTCTCCACCAATTCGAAGAAGGGTTGTTGCACGACGAAGTACGAGAAAGGGTCATCGAAAGCAACCCTACATCGCCCGTGGAGGCTCTACAGGTTGCCAAACAGAAGGAAGCTCTAATTAAGCTTCGTAAGAATCGGCGACCAACAGACGGACCCTATACTCAATCACAATATCAAGAATCGAGGACGCCTCGTGAGCATCGTACGAAACCACATCTTGAGTGGAGGTCCCGATCTTCCCCGAAAGCAAGACAAATTCCACACCAACCACGTCCAAGAGGGGCTGGATAAACTCTCGCCTCCCAGAAGAGATTGGTGAGTCTCCCTCTTTTTTATCTAATGTCATGCCATTATCAGACGAGCCATATGTAGCTAAGCAACTGCCCACTGTTCTAGTTAAGTTTTATGACAGAACTCTCGTTGGGTTGGTAGACACAGGTGCAGCTCGCACATTGTTGTCCAGCAAATATTGTAATGCTATGGCCAAAACTGCCACACCCCACCTTAACATCCAAACGGCAAATGGGTCTCGTATGAAAGTGGCTGGCGAGCTGTTAGTCTTATGGGAAGGTAAACATGGTCGTATGTGGCATCCGTGTTTGGTAGTTAACGGATTGTCGTGGGATTTAATAATAGGTTATGACCTTCTACGCGGTTGCAACGCGTCAATTGATATTGAATCCCAAAAGCTCACCCTTCTAGGTTCTACATTACTATTTGGAGCAGATATTAATAATACCTGTTTACAGCTGAGTGTGAATGCAATTGATACCGCCCTGATGGAAAGTATGCTAACACAGGTCCCGCGAGAGCACAAAGAGGCGGTACATCGGTTAATGTCCGAGTTTTCGGAGGTCGTATCTTGGTCCTCGACTGACCTGGGAAGAACCACAGCTATCCAACATACTATTGAGACCGGTAGTTGTGCTCCAATACGGCAAACACCTCGCCGAGTCCCAGCTAAGTTTCGTCCGCAACTGGAAAGCATGATTGATGAAATGTTACAGAAAAAAATAATTGCGCCGTCGAACTCACCGTGGGCTCGCCTATAGTGTTAGTTAAGAAGAAAAACGGCACCCTGCGCTTGTGTGTTGATTACAGAAAATTAAACGCAGTGACCCGGAGAGATGCTTACCCATTGCCTAGAATAGATGAGACGTTAGAAGCATTATCAGGTGCCGTCTGGTTTTCCACCCTTGATTTAGCTTCTGGATATTGGCAAGTGGAAGTCCACCCTCGTGATCGGCACAAAACTGCTTTTACTATACCCACCGGTTTATATGAATTCCAGACCATGCCGTTCGGGTTAAGTAATGCACCAGCCACGTTTCAACGACTGATGCACACAGTACTTAAAGGATTAGTCCCACAGGTGTGCCTCGTATATTTAGATGATATTATCGTTTTCAGTCACACCATCGAAGAACACCTTGAGCGACTGCGGATTGTCTTGGAACGTTTGAAGGAGGTGGGACTCAAAGTTCAACCCACTAAATGCCGTTTATTCCGAACCGAAGTCACTTTCTTGGGGCATGTTGTCAGTGCACAGGGCGTTCATAGCGATCCTGAAAAAGTTGCAGCAGTCAAAGAGTGGCCCGTACCTAAATCCGTGAATGAGTTACACAGTTTTCTAGGGTTGGCCTCTTATTACCGCCGGTTCGTGAGAAATTACTCAGAGATCGCTAGCCCCCTAACGAGTTTGACTAAGAAAAATATTCCCTTCGTATGGACAGAGGATTGTGACCGTGCTTTCCAACAGCTGAAAGATTCATTATGCTCGGCGCCCATTTTAGCATTCCCAGATACATCACCAACGGCTGGTAAATACATCTTGGACACGGACGCTAGTCACACATCCATCGGAGCCGTGTTATCTCAGGTCGGTGGGGACGGCAAAGAACATGTTATCGAATATGGCAGCCGCACGCTGAGCCGTGCAGAGAAGAACTACTGCATCACCCGTAAAGAGATGTTGGCCGCTGTTACCTTCGTTCGTAAGTACCGACCCTATCTACTTGGTAAACCGTTTGTTTTGCGAACGGATCACAAAGCTCTTCAGTGGTTGCAAAATTTCAAAGACCCTGAAGGACAGACAGCAAGATGGCAGGAATACCTTCAGGAGTATGACTTCGAATGTGTACACCGTCCTGGCAAGCAACATGCCAATGCTGACGCGCTATCCAGGCGCTCTTTCAGACCGCACGGAGACTGCCCGTCTTGCGAGAGTATTGATATTTGTGCTATTTCGTTGGCAGGTCTAAGCAGAGAACAGTGGGCACACATCCAAGCTACTGACGATGAGACTGCACTCCTTTATCATGCCCTGTCGAATCAGACTGGTAGGCCAGTTGAAGCTGATGTGAAAGGGAAGAGCTGGGAAACCAGATGTTTGTGGGCCTTATGGGATCAGTTAGTACTAGTGAATGGTATCCTGTGTGTTCAACCCGGCCCCAACTACTTGAGAAGAGTCGTAGTCCCTCAGTCGTTTGTAACAGCAATTCTGGAGACTATACATTATGATTTGGGACACGCTGGAATTAATAAAATGTTGCAAGCAGTTACCCAACGCTACTGGTGGCCTCGCCAACGGCGCGACGTCCGGGACTTTGTCCAAGGGTGTGCAACATGTGGCAAAGTAAAGAATCCACAGAGGAAACCCCGGGCGCCACTTACTAATATGAAGGCTGGATATCCTAACGAAATAATTGGCGTCGACATCATCGGACCTTTACGTGAAACCACACGTGGAAATAAGTATATCTTGGTTATGGTTGATTATTTTACGAAATGGTGTGAAGCTGTACCACTTCAGCGAATTGATGCCCCTACTGTAGCCAAAGCTATATTTGACTGTTGGATTGCCCGTTGGGGCGCACCAGAGCAATTGCACTCTGACCAAGGAACCAACTTCGAAAGTATCGTGGTTAGAGAATTGTGCCATCTATTTGGAATTAAAAAGTCAAGAACCACCGCGTACCACCCCGAAGGCAATGGGTTAGTAGAGCGTACCAATCGAACCCTAAAATCATTACTACGCCTATTCTTAGAGAGGGAGGCTGAATCAGCCTGGGACATCATGTTACCAAGATGCTTGTTGGCCTACCGAGGAAGCACGCACATGTCTACGGGAAAGACACCACACCTGTTATGGACTGGCCGCGAGTTACGCCTGCCTAGTGATACATTGGTTATGCCCCGGTGGGATGATCCGCTAACTACATCGGAAATGGTAATAAGGTTGCGAGGAGACGTCGCCAGGTATCATAGCTATGCACGCGAAGAACTCCAGAGAGCACAAGAACGACAGAAACGTTACTACGATAGAAAGCAGTGGGGAACACCATTCAAAATAGGTGATAAGGTGTGGCTACGTCAACCAGCGACTGACAACTGGAGTCGACGCAAAGCTCAAGCACAATGGGCAGGCCCATACGTGGTGTACCGCAGAGTAACTGACAATACCTACGAAATCCAAGAAGACAACAACAACCCTCAGAAAATGATAGTGCACTTCAACCGTCTGAAACCGTGTAGACCAAGCAGACAGGCACCGAGGAGAACCCGCCTTATCTCGATAACCATAATAACCATGTGTCTCTTTCTCTTGTAGGGACGATTTCGAGGCGGGGAGACCGAACCACTGAAGTCGCTGGGGACAGCTTTTTGGAACCGAGGGGGTCGTGTAGTAATTCGAACTCAAGAGGAGGCGCAAATTCAAAAACTGGTGGCTGCTGAATACTGAAGGCCTAGCTCTTTGTTGTAAATATATACATCTTTTGAACTTTCCTGTCGCGTTCTGCTTCTCACCTCACCCCGTGTGCTTGATATCTGATACTGTCTGTGT